AGTGCAGGAGCCAGGATTCAGGACAGGAGGAATGCTAAACACAAAGACAAATTTACTAAGCATCTGCTCTGTCCCACACAACGTGCCCAGAGGAGTGGAAGACAGAGACAAGGTAAGACATTTGTTATGTGTCTCTATATAAGGAGTTTACTGCCTAGCATGTAACTGGAATGCAGTGATGTGCTATAAAACACACTGTAAAAAAGTAACACAGAAGGGGATATCTCTGCCCAATGAATCTATCAGGAAGGATACTCACAGGTGACCTTCTTATGGAAAAAAGGAACCTTCTAGGTAGAAGAGAGAGCAATAACAGAACAAGGAGACAGTAAGGTCAAGGCTGATTAGGGAAATGGTGAGTAACACAGGCTGTCTGAGCCCATGGGACATAGATGGAGGCATGAGAGATAAGACGAGAGAGTTGGGGCCAGATCTGGGGCGAGAGGAGGAACAGAGCTTTGAATTTTAGATTTCATGTCGAATGCCATTTTAATTAAGTCATTTCCTTGTTCTAAACTTGCACTGGCTCCTCCTCACTGGACAAATACAGGAAGAGCCGGAGGCTGTGTAGGAAGTGGAAACTGATTGTATGGGGCTGGGATGAAAGAGAGAGATGAGCTCCATCCAGCTACAGGGTTTAAAGACTCAATAAAGCAATAGGATTCTGCTTCCTAATATGTGAAATAAAGCTGTCCATCCAAGTCAAGGCTGCTCAGTTGACTATTCATTAAAGGCCCAGTTAAAACACTGAATCTTCACCTCTGCCCACTTCTAACTGCCATTCTGTTTTCTATGTTATGACAATCCCATGTTACAGATCTTATGCTTCTCATAGAAATAAGTATGAAACAGGTACTTATTTGGCTGTTGGGCCAAGTGCTGGACTGGAAATTCAATGTTTTAATATTCCAATGAACCGGTAGTATCAGCAGGGACTTGGGGCTACCTACTTGACCTTTTTATAATGTTTCACATTATGGAGGTAATTGCAATGTCTCTCTCAGGGGAGTTGTTAAGAGAGCTAACAAAAAAACTTATGTATAGAACCCAGCTCTGATCAGAGATTTAGCATCAGCATTCAGTAAGTTATAAATGGTTGTTTGAAGCATTTATTTCTGAGATACAGACAGTGATGGTTATGGCTAACACAGTTCTTTTAGACTCATTGGAATTTCTGGCTATTGTCAAGAACCAAGTTTTTATGAGTTAAGATTATGCCTAAAGAAGATGATTGAAATTCATGTACTGTTTCTCAGACAGGAACAAAAAGAAACTCTATTTAAAAAGGTCCTTCTCTTATTGTTCATTTCAAGAGGCTGATTCCTGAAGTGTTAGGATTGTATTTCTAACATTGACCTAGGAGTCTCCAAAACATAAACAAGGGTGGATGAATGTATTATACCTTTAATATTAATATTAAAGTTAGCTCTATAAAAGGCTTGTCAATCCAACAAAATACAAGAAAAAGTTACACACATTAAAACGAATTTGTGAGCCAAGAAGGCAAATATGGATACATTTAGAGGGGGCATTTTTCTCCCCCTATCCGTCTGTCTCCTCTTCAACAAACGCCCAGATAAAGTCTGAGGATCCCCAACAGCAGGAGTGCGGGTGGGGAGAAATCACCTAAGCGCTCTCGATTCCTCTCATCTGTTAACATCAATAGGCAATGTAATTAAGACAAGCCCTAATGTGGTTTATTGTTTTTCTATTACACAAGCTAGTTTTGTCTCTCAACCCATCTGGCTCCTGAAGTTCATCAAAGCGACTATCCACGTGGAAAATTCCTTACACAGTCAATTTTGAAGGAGCCATATGGATGGAGAGCAACATTACCGCTAATAAACAACTCGCTGATAATTAGTTCTCAAAAGGACGTTTCATCTCTCGTGGACTATTAACATTTCATGTTAAATTCTCTAAGATTTTGTAAGTAGTTGAATGCTTTGCTCCTGTTGGAAATATCAACTCCTTGTTTCCATTCTAACAGTCACAGTCCTTAGGATAAGTGAGAGGAGGGTTGAGGGGTGCACAGGGGTGATCACATACTGTACAGGGAGTCCCTTGGGCACAGCAGACCCAGCATGCCCACATTATCCTTATCCCGTGTACATCCCTCAACCCTCCTTCTTCGTTACAGTCTATAATTAAATAAAAGTCACCCTCTTATTTCAGCCATCCAAGCCCCCCAGTTAGGAAAATTTCTTCAGTCTCTCACGTTCACCAACCCCTATTACCAATCCATTGCCAAACCATGTCATTTTTACCTCTTAAATGTCTTAAATAGTACCCTTTTCTCCATCCTTTTTGCCTTCATTGGTCACCTGGTATTCTTAGCTTCACTCCCAGGAAGCAAGCCCAGGACCCAGGGGAGATATAGTTTCATTGGACTTGGAGCTAGAGAGGCAGTGGATGTGTGGTTGGCAAGGCTCACCCAAGGCAATGGAAGATGGAAGAATCTAAAGGGAAAGCTAAGATCTGCATTTTGGAGAGAGAGTCAGGAAGTATCAAATCTAATATGTTGTGTGTTTGAGTGGGAGAGGGGATGGGGTTAAATGCCAATTGCTGAGTGATTACTCTACATACGAAGTTGGCACTTATGGGCAGGAATGTGATGGTCCATTGGAACAGGAGTAGACAGACATTGGAACTGTAAGCTTCTAAACCAAGCCTCTGGCCTCAGTGGCACTAATTAAAATTCAGAATTATTTAATTTTCCTTTCCTTTTCTCATCTCCCCCCAAAAATCTAAGCTTTGAGGCTAGGGACCCCCCTGTGTGTGTCACCGTCATATGCCCAGTGTTTCCCACAGTACTTGAGGCATGATCAACACTATCAAATATTTGTTGAGGGGCAGCTGGGGGCTCAGTCAGTTGAGCACCCGACTTCAGCTCAGGTCATGATCTGTGGTTTCAGTTTGTGAGTTCGAGCGCCACATCGGCCTTGCTGCTGTCAGCCCGCTTCGGATCCTTTATCTTCCTGTCTCTATCTTTTATCCCCCACTTGTGCTCCCTCTCAAAAATATACATATTTTTAAAAAAGAAAAAAATAAAATATTTGTTGAATATCTGAATTGGTCTTGAATACTGAAAATCTAATCTCATCACTTTAATGCTTAAGAATTCTTCAGTGACTCCATCAAGTCTTTAGGGTAAAATAAACCCAGAATCTTTAGTTTAGCATTAAACAAATAAACAAAAAATAAGCCATTTGGTTAGTTCAGGTCATTTTCCCACCTAGAAGCTTAACATTTCCTCCCTCTTCTCCCTGCAAAGAGCGGCAGTTTCTATCATAATACACTACTTGTGATTTTTCACATGTGTCATATTCATTCACCTCTTTCCTCATAAGCAGGGATAGTTCAGGAAACACACTCTCCAGAAAGCTTTTCCAAACTTTTTTCTTGACCTTGGTAAATAAGAAGGCAGTGATGGTTAATTTTGTGCCAACTTAGCTAAGATATGGTACTCGGTTGTTTGGTCAAATGCCAGTCTAATGTTGCTATGAAAATTTGGTTTGTTAGGGGCACCTGGGTGGCTTAGTCGGTTAAGCGTCTGACTTTCGCTTGGGTCATGATCTCGCGGTTCGTGGGTTCAAGCCCCGCGTCGGGCTCTGTGCTGACTGCCAGCTCAGAGCCTGGAGCCTATTTCAGAGTCTGTGTCTTCCCCTCTCTCTGAGCCTCCCCTGTTCATGCTGTCTCTCTCCTAGAAATAAATAAAAATATTTAAAAAAAAAAGAAAAGAAAATTTGGTTTGTTAGATATGATTAACATTTTTAAAAAATTTGTTTAAGTCGGCTCCATGCCCAGCACAGAGCCCAACATGAGGCTTGAACACAGGAGTCTGAGACCAAGATCTGAGCCGTGATCGAGAATGTTTAACCGACTGAGCCACCCAGGCTCCCATGGATAGGATTAACATTTAAGTCAGTAGACTTTGAATAAAGCAAATTGCCCTCCATAACGTGATTAAGCCTCATCCAACAGTGAAGAACTTAAAAGGAAAGACTGAGGTTTCCCAAAGAAGAAGAAAATCTCCTCAAGACTGCAACATAGAAATGCTGCCTGAATTTCCAGCCCATGACCAGTTCTGCAGACCTCAGACTTGCTAGGCTTCACAACCACAGGAGACAATTGTGTAAGATCTATCAGTTTCTCTCTCTCTCTCTCTCTCTCTCCCTTTCTCTCTCTCTCTCTCTGCACCCATCCCACCTTATAGAGAGATTGTGTTTCTCTGGAAAACCTATACTAATACAGGAGCTTTCTATTTTAACTCCTATGTCTAGAACTTAGCAGATGAATAAATGGAAAATAAAACCTAGCATGAAATCACCCTCCATAACAGAAGAGGACTTTGCAGTGCAGAGGTAATCAGCTCAGGGCAGGGAAATACTAGTGAGTTAACCTGGGCTCCAGCACATCCCTCAATAGCCCCTCCCCGGCCGCCGGTGACTTGATCATCTGAGGCATAATAAAAAATAATGAGGAAAATATACATTTTATGAGTCCACTCATTCTGTTTTGAACACGGGGGAACATGTTACAAAGATTTCAACATGCACTCCCAGTGCTGGAGGGTAGAACAGTTGGGTGGGGCCTCGGACCTCCTGGAAGGAAGTGTAAAATCAGCCAAGAGCATAGAAATGGGGTGCATTTCTTTGTGCGTCCTATCTTACCTCCTTGTGTGTGGGCTTTGATTTTTGAATGACTGCTGAGTCACTGAAGAAGACCTCTCCACACCAGCTTCTTTGGACTGCTTGTTTTCAACCCCTGGTCTAAACAAATCTCAGCATGTCTTCAGTGAGGTAAGTGAGCATATGACCAAAGTTCTAGGCAACAATGGCCACCCTCTGGCTATTTTTCTGGTGCTTGCTGGACTTCTGCGTTTATGCTAGAAAATGCCAGATCGTTCCCAGTAGGGTATGACAGAGAGACAGAGAGTAGGTGCTGGTAAATATTTACTGAAAATCTCTGAGAACAAAGTGCACACCGAGAGTTCTTACCAATAGGCACGTCACCAATTCGGTCTTGCTTCGGCTCCTCTCTCTGGGTATTATCCTCCTCCATCAGAATCTTCTGCTAAATCTCAAAGCAGAAACTGAGAAAAGAAAAGTATCATGACTGGGAAGCCAAGACGGTCTCTGAGAACTGAAGGTCAATAGAGCTAACATCTGGTGAACACTAACTGCTGCTGACTTTTAAAAACAGACATCCTGGATTATCCTATAATCCCGTTGCTGACTATCCTTTAGACTGACAAACTTCAATACCATCACCACTAACCAACATCAACAAAAGCACACTTTTGGGTAGAACTGTTACAGATTAAAGGAAAAAAAAAGACAACAGATGCCAGCAAACAAGTAAAGATCAATACTTAGAAGAATCAGTCCTCAGTATAACGACCTGGGGTTCGTTGTTACTTATATTCTATTGTTCATCTCATGCTTTGTCAGTCATCCCATTGGGTCCTTTGTCTTTATTCTTTCCTTTAATTTTTACAAAACCTCATGTTATAGAAAAAGAAACCAGTATCTTTGCTCTTAAGAGTTTTCTAAAGAGCTCTTGACTTTAAGTCAGGCTTTTCTCAGCTTTCGTATGTGTCTAGATTTCTCTGCAGAGTCAGGCATGCCCCGATGGATGATGTGGCCCCACCGTCATATGAGGGATCTCATTTGTTGTGCACCTACTATGCCAAATATTCCTCATCTAATTTTCACAATGGCTCCAAGACTAAGTATTACCATTCACATTTTACAGATGAGAGGCCTAAAGCTCAAGAAAAAGAGAGTTATCAAAAGTCACACAACCAGTAATGTGTGCTACCTTGTAAAGTGACAGCCCTCATCTACCATTTGGATACAGAAAAAAGTATCAGGTTTTGTTTAACTTGTTCTTAATGTATTAAGGAGGATGGATTTTAATGGTGATAGAACTAGAAGCAGAAAGACCAGTTAGAGGTCTATACCATATTTCCAGGGAGACATGTAAAGAAACTAAAGCGGGGCATTTGTTTAAGATAACAAGGTTCAAACTTGTTATCTTATATATCATATAGATACAGAAATAGGCATAGGCACAAGTATAGAGACAGAGATAGATATCTCATCAGCCCAAGATAACTCAAGATGATTTATTGGTACTGGCAGGTAGGTAAGGGGAGAGTCTGGTGTGATTTGGTAGCTGAATGATGATGATGCCATTATCCAGGAAGAGAAATGCAGGAAGTGGAGCAGATGGAAAGCAAGGAAGGGAATTCAATTTTGGATACGTTGATTTGGAATTTGTCAGTAGATTATCCAAATAAAGTGTGAGGTAGAGATCATGGGTAGAGTTGGAAATTCGAAGGGTCAGATCATGAGAGGTTTTGCTTTTTCTCAAAATGGAAGGGAGCAAGCTAAGCAGGCTCATATGTTGAGGGAAGATAGAGAGGGAAATGGTAAAGATATAGAAGAGAGGGGGATTAAGTGATGGAACAAGGTCATGGGAGAGAGGGTGAGGATTGGGTCAAGAGCCCAGTTGGAGGGTTGGCCTTGACTGATGCATATTTCCTAAACAGAATACCTGGATCCTAAAATCAGCATTGTGCTTAATGAGGAAATACTAGAGATATTTGCACTAAGATTAGGAAAGAGTCAAGAATGCTTAACATCTCTACTACTACTGAAGATTTTTCTAGAGATATTAACCAATATACTATAAACAGACAGAGCAATAAGAGGCACAGAAATTGGAATAGAAGGAAAACTATTTTCAGATGATATGATAGCTTACTCAGAGAACCTGAGAAAATCAACAGTAAACTAACAAAAATGATAAAATAAATGCTAATGTACTAATGCCAATTTTAGTTTTGTTATGTTTAAAATAACTTCAACCTTCAGAAAAGCTGCAAGATGGGAATGCAAACTGATGCAGCCACTCTGGAAAACAGTATGGAAGTTCCTCAAAAAATTAAAAATAGAACTACTCTAGGACCCAGCAATTGCACTACTAGGTATTTATCCAAAGGATACAAAAATGCTTATTTGAAGGGGCCCATGAACTCTAATGCTTATAGCAGCACTATCAACAATAGCTAAATTATAGAAAGACCCCAAATTTCTATCAACTGACAATGGATAAAGAAGGTATGGTATATATATATATACCATATATATATATATATAGCAGTCAGCACAGAGCCCGACGCAGGGCTCGAACCCACGAACCGTGAGATCATGACCTAAGCGAAAGTGGGACGCTTAACCGACTAAGCCACCCAGGCGCCCCAATGATGCCATGCTTTTATCTTCTTTTATTTTTACTATAAAAGTTTTAAAGCAGACTATAAATGTGGAAATATGTTAAACCATTCATTCCGCTGAATTCTCCCTAGATAGAATATTCATGGGAAAAATTGTCTTCTTTCCAAGTGATTCTAAGACGTCTCTCAGGTTGTGTATTCTCAGGTCTGACTGATCTCCATGTAAATCTCAGGTAAGGAGACTGTTCTTAGATTAAATTTTAAAGGCATACAAAGAATACAACCATCCTATTGTGTTAGATATGGGTTCTAAGCATGTTTAAAAAAATGTTCTAGTCTGACTTTGTTCAAAGTTCTGTTGGGAATTCTTGGAAATCTGTTAGATTACCACTAATTCCATGGACCCATAGTTTAAATTTCTTTACATGTAGAGGCTACAACTACTTTTCCATAATTATATTTTTTCTGGTTTTCATTGATTATCTGAAGACTTTTAAAAGCATAACAGATACATAGGTAACCATCATGCTGTGTGTGTTTGATGAATCGTGTCCTCATTAGCCTACCCAGATACATTATTAGATATTCCTTATTTCTTTTTTGCCTTTTAATGTTTATTCATTTTTTGAGAGAGAGAGAGAGAGAAAGAGAGACAGAGAGAGAGATTGAGAGAATGAGTGGGGAGTGGGGCAGGGAGCCTTATTTCTGGAGTCCAGACAGGTTTCTGGAGCCAGTGTAAATGATCACATGGAGAGTTACCAGGTTTTTGTGGCAAATTCAAGATTTCCTTGAGTGCCTGGGATCCATGCTTCTCGAAGCCAACTCAGTGGAAGTGTTCTTGCATGTTGACGTTCTATTTTCTTCTCTCCTTGGTGGCAGAATAAACCCCCCCCACACACGCACTTTTTTTCTTTTTTTGCTACTGTTCTTTGTAGGAGCCATATTTTCTAGAACAGGTTGGAAAGAGATGGATTATGGGAAGGGCAAAATTCCACTTCCTGGTTGCCTAGAGACAAGGCCACACCAAGGAACTTTAAAAAATACAGATTCCTTAACACCAGTACAGACTTTCTAATCAGAGTGTGTGGAATGAATCCAGTAATATGTATTTTTTAGAGAAATTTCTCAAGAGATTCTTCCTTGACTAGCATTGAGGGGTTGTGATTTACACATAGGTTTAGCAGAATGATCCCTAAAGAAATTTACAAGAGTCTGGGAAAAGATGCTTTTCCTAGCCCCTTCTTAGCAAACTGTGGCTGATATTAGCATATGAATTTAAGGAAACAATTTTGTTAATGCAACATTTCTCAAGCTTATTTGAGTATAGAACACACTTTTTTTTTGACACAGCACATTACTACCCCCAAAAGCACAAACTTTATGAAATGAAATGTTGAGATAGAAAATACAACTCACCATGTTGTCACCCTCTTTTTATTGACAAAATCAATATCTCTTATGTTTGTCAACTGAGTAATACATGTAACTTGCAGCCATTTATCTGTATTATACAAGGCCTTCATTATAAGTATTATTATCTGTCTCTTCCTCTGCTCATTCCTAAACCTTAGATGTTGAAGAAAATAAAAATAGTTATAGAATTAATCTGCATTGATTACTTCCTGAATGCTAGGCTCTGTTCAAAGTACTTTTCAGGCAATATATAATTAATCTATGGCCCTACGGAGTAAGTTTTATTATTATAACACTGTTATGACAGGATATCGAGGTAAAGAGAGATTAAGTAGCTAAACCTAAGAAAACACGCAGTTATGAAGTGGTGAATCAAGTATTACAGACATTAAATCCAGGTGTTCAGACTCTTGAGCTGATAGTATTAAGCACTCTTATATTGCTTGAGCATTAGTCACTGGTCTTCCTCTACATGCTCCTTCTTGACGGTCTCATCCAGTCAAAGCTTCACCTTATCCGAGGCTTACTAAACCCTTCCCCTAACTCTTGTTCTCTCTTCTGGGCCACGGACCCACTCACTAACTGCTTGCTTGACATCTCAGTGGGAAGCTATCAACTGGAACCTCAAAGTCAATATATTTCTAGTAGAATCTCATCTTTCCTCCTCCAAATTTACCCCTCCTTCTGTGTTCTCTCTTTTCATCCATTCATGTATTTCTTCTTATGACATATCTGAGCCTCTATTATGTGTCTGGTACTGTGCGCTGGTAGGGATATGTATACAAATGAACAGAACTTGGATTCTTACTCTCGGTTTCTATGGCCCCAGAACTTCAGTGAACACATGCTTCATCATGCCTTCCTCTTCTTTCTTTGTTATGATCTTCCAGATTAATCTCCAGCAGCTATATTCATTCTCTAAATTGTTCTCAAGCTATATTTACTTGAAAGGGAATTTGATTGTCCTGAATTATTTTCCCATGACAGTTCACTGGCACATCTGTAGGTGGTCTGGCAGATTGTAGTCTAAGGATGGCCACACCACCAAGCATGCAATGTGACACATTCTTGCAATGTGACATTGACAGTCCTTCCTTGTGAGATGGGGTCTATACCTCCTCCCTTTGCATGTCAGTGGGCTTGTATCCGCTGTGGAAGTGGTGATATTATGTGCTTTCAGGGGCTAAGTTCTAGCAGGCAAAACAACTCCTGTCTGGCCTTTTGAGGGTGCTTGCACTTGGACCCCAAGGAAGGGGAAAGACCTTGCAGAATTGTGATATGAAAGTGTTCCGGGTTATGGTCCCTACTGAGGACCCAGGTAACAACCAGCACCAACCTCCAGACTGGTGAGGGGACAAGATTTCATATGATTCCCAGTCCTGGCCTTCAAGCCACCATAGCTGATACTGAGTAGAGCAGAAACAAGTTACCGCCTCTGA